GAAATTCCTTAAAGGAACTTTACGGAGTTTTGAATTTTTATGCTCACGATTGCCCCCTCAGGCCAAAAGCGTAACGGCAGCTTCAATAGTAGGCTTGTGCACGAGGCGCGCATGCTGTACGTGCACACTCCTTAACGAAAATAACAGCTGAGACAGTCCCTTGTGTGTGTGTGTGTGTGTGTGTGTGTGTGTGTGTGTGTGTGTGTGTGTGTGTGTGTGTGTGTGTGTGTGTGTGTGTGTGTGTGTGTGTGTGTGTGTGTGTGTGTGTGTGTGTGTGTGTGTGGCCTGGAGGACAGAGGACAGGAGAACGTGCAGCAAATTAATTAAATAATTTGGTTCTGTACCTTTCTCTTCAGCACAGCCGACAAAGGTTTATGATGGGTCAGTCCTCCTGCATGCTCAGATCATTCCCTTCCCTTGCTTGAAAAATTGTTCCAAAATGAAAGTTGAACCCACATCTTTTTTATGAGTGAATTCAATGCCGTTCGGCGAGTCTCAAATAAAAATTTGGGCATCTTACTGTAAAAAAATATACCATTAATGTAAAAAAGAAACTCTAAATGAACAATGTTCACACCCAGAATCAAAACCAGGTCTTCTGCATGGGAGTCAGACATCTCACAAGCTGAGCTACACTCTAGTAACATTCACAGTATCTGTAACTTTTATATCCTTGATGACAGCTGAAACAACGTCAAACCAAAGAACGGTTTGGAGCGAAAATGGCTATTTTGTTGCTAATTTGCAGGAAATATCTAGAAGAAAGTTCTACAGAAAGTAGCTAAGGGTCCTCAGAAATGTAGCTAGCTTTGTCACTAGGCGTTAGGAACAGCGATAAAGTGGCACTGCCTCTCTCTCTCTGCTGCTAAAGCTACGGATAGCAAATGCTACGGGCTATGCCTGAGCGTGAACGCGCATGAAGCAGCCTGCTCGACCCGAGCATCTCTCTTTTTCTGTGATTTTACAGAAAAACAGGCAATCACAGTAAAAATGCCAGGGCTCATTCTACAGGACCAGGGCATTGCCGGAGAATGTATGAAGAAGAAATTTATTATTTCTATACATGTTTTGGCTGTCAAACTTCCATAATGTCCCTTTAAGTATTCTGATAATTACAGCTCTTTTAGCTACATCCGAATCAGCCAAACCTGATTCCACCGGTCAGAGATTTGAATCAACCCTCATAATCTGAATGTAGCAATTAATCATCTTTGATTATGTCAAACTTGCACAAAGGGTGAGTTTATAGTTTCACCTGCATTTAAAAGGAAAATGGGATTATTCTAATAGATCCTTTTAACTACATTTTAAGTTTCAGTTGGCAGCATTTTCAGCTCCATATTGACTAATAATAATTATGTGTATAATTGTTTAGTTCAGTATCAACACGCATGTGTAATTCATCTCCAAATGTCTGGATGTCTGTTGAAGATGGAGATGGAGCAGCGTGAGTATTTGAGTGAGTAAGCCGGTCTGCTCCCTGACCCTTTAACTGTGGGGTAAAAGACCCAGCTCTGCCTGTAGTTTAGTTTGCCACACATCTCTTTAAGCGGTGCAACAGTAAAGCCTTCATCCACTTCAGTTTCATTTTTTTAAATAAAAGACTACTGCAAGGATCTCACACTAAATTAGAGTGTGAAAACCATGAGTGTGAGAATCATTTTTCAAATGCTTTTATGTTTTCTTTTATCTTTCCAGCATCCACTTTCAGCGATTTGAGCAGCACACAAAAACTGTTTTAATCAAACTGCAAGTGTGTGTGTGTGTGTGTGTGTGTGTGTGTGTGTGTGTGTGTGTGTGTGTGCGTGCGTGCACACACCATGCTCAAATGAACTGGATAACAATCTGCAAGTGCACCTCTTGTGACAACGTCAAAATTAAAATAAAAATTGCACCTTTTAACCTTGGAGAAAATGGAGTTCATCCATTACCAAAGGCACAAAAATCATGCACAACTGCTCTTCATTTTCATTCTGACTGAGGGCATGTTGGTCCACACTAGCATCCCAGTGTCTCCTCCAACATAATCGCTCGCTGCATTCAGACTTTTAATATTTCTGCTTTGGTTTGCAGCTGCAGATAAACAGACGTAGGTTCTTAAAAGAAGTAGACAATGGAAATGGTTCCACGCCTTCAGCGAAGCGGCCGAGGTGCTGTTCTGCTTATCTGGCTCTTGCAAGTGAAAAAAAAAATGGGGTTTTAGTCATCATGTTTGATAAACACATCATTCAATAGTAAAACTGTATGGTGCGGTTTATATAAACCACAATAACAAAACCACCAAGGTCTTTTAGTTTAACGTTTTGATTTTCTGCTACTTTGGTTGAGAAGATATTCACAAAGAGCACATCCTGTAAAGGAAGACAAGCCAGTTTGGGCTTGCTTTTACCATCCCCTAGTGTCCGTTTAGTAGAACAAAAAGAAAAACGTATCTTCTCGCTGTGTGTTTTAGTGATGGGAATTCCGGCTCTCTTTTTTGGCTCAGCTCACCAAAAAGAGCCGGCTCTTTCGGCTCCCAAGTAGCTCCTCAGATTTTCTGTTGCGTAGAGTACATTTATAACCAAAATAATGCTAAACATATGCAAAATAATTTACTAATGTAAAAAAAAAGCAATATATCAAATGTTTATCATTTCTATGGATTTAATAACTGAACACTTTAAGAAATGTCCACTTTCCGACTGCTGGCGCTCATTTTCTCACCGTCTTTGTCGCACTCTCCTCTCTCTCTCTCGCCTTTTTCCTCCTCCTCATTCCCTCTCGTCTCCCTCCACCCGCATGTGCTCTGCTGTGTGTCTGTCTGAGTCTGATCCTCCCTCTTCCCCACCCCTACTGCTCTGTGTGTGGACAGTCTGGACACACAGTTACACATGTTGACCAATCGCCTGTAGCTTTCACCAAAGCGGGGGGGGGGGGGGGCGCGGCTCCCAATGACGAGCCGGCTCCCGTCGTTCACTTCAAAGAGCCGGCTCTTAGAGCCGATTCGTTCGCGACCGACACATCACTAGTGTGTTTGTATTTTTAACACCTTAATCTAACAACGTCTCCCCAGCCTTCCTTAGCGTCTACAGGAGCGATTCATCACTAAATGAAACAAATCCACTGTGTTCCTGATCTGAAACATGCAGGAAACGTGCTGGAAGCAGACTGCAGCGCCAGGTGTTTAAAGCAAAAAATTTTTCCAAGTCCTACAGACCGGACTGGCACTCGGAAGTTGCAAATGCGGTATTCTGGCCACAGATGGCGGTGGGGATCTGAGTGGCATTCAATTAACCCTTTAACGGGTCATTTTAGCACATACTGGCTCAAGAAAATGGTTTAAAACAAAAAATAAAAAAGGTTCAAAAAGCTCAAAGAGGCCGAGGAGTTGGCCTCAGAACCTGGAGATCGCCTGGGATGGGATGCACTGGAACCATCCTGGTCCAACATAAAAGATAAACCCTGGAACCCACAGGACCCAAATGATCCGGAGCCAACGCGTCCCCGACAGGACACCACAGGAGACACACACACACACACACACACAGGTCAGAGCTGTTCTGGCTGCAGGCGGGCAGACCGATGAGGCAAATGGGTTTAAAATGCTGTAGCTGTGCTCAAATTACACACACCCTCAGCTCACCAAATCATTCAGCAGTGAAGAAAATAATAATGCACAGCCTTGAGCTACACTACAGCTTTGCAATTTGCTGACCATAACAACAAACGTCTTTTTTTTCTGGCTTTTTGCTAATAGGATAAATGCTTCTGGGTAATTTCTAAATGAATTCCTCAGGCCAAAGCAGCTCCTCAAGCCAATCTAAACCACATTTGATAGAGGATTAAATTCCTGATTGAGTTTATTGCAGCAAAGCTGGTGACTAACTAAAAAAAACATGTTATTCATGCACCACAAGCGGTGTTAAGACCTGTGATGTGTGTGTAAACGCCTCTCCGTGCTGCCGCTGTGTGATCACCCACCTTACAGTGACTGTTTACACTCCTCGCTCGTGCCACAAAAAGGTGAGAAGACCCCTGCTAAATGGCTCCAGCTCTGAGGCAAATGCATTACTTCAGCGAGCGCAGAGCTCCCTGTCTGCTCAGAGGACTAGGACTAAAGCCCTTAATCCCCCGCCTTGATTTGCGATCGCCTGCTAGGTTTTCAAATGTCATCAGTGGGGAAGTGTGTCCTACTCCTGCCCCACATGCTCGGCCCATTAATGCAACACCACCACCAGGCTGCATCCATACAGAAGAGAAACAGCATCTCTATTTATACACAGGAACCCATGCTTCTCTTGGCTGAGCTCATAAGCAAGGCATCAGATCCAAGACAGTGAGGATGGATAAATGTGTGGCTGGACCACAATACAGCATGCTAAATATCTATAGCGTGTATTTTATGACATCAACTGATGCTTTAAAGTATCTGAAGATTTTAAAAATGCAATGAAATAATAGAAGACATTTTATTTTTAAACTCTTAAATGAGAAAACGTAAAAAAGTCACTGCGGTCTGTGTTTCTAATTAAACATTACTGTGACTCTGAGTTTAATTAACCCAACAGATACAGATTTTGACATGTTTCATTCACTCGTACTTAATCATTAAAGGTACTTTTTTTATTTTATTATTTTATATTGATTCAATTTAAAGGTGTCGCTTATAACAAAGTCACCATATGATTTTTTTAAATAAAAGTGTTAGAATATTTAAAGCATTTATTTTACTAAATATAAAAAAAAATTTAAGGTCAACAATAAAATAGTTAGTCCTGATTTGTTTCCATTTCTACTTCATTATCCTTTTGATCATTTCTAAGTTAATTCCCAGTCCACAGGAGCGCGTGCGCACACTGCGCGCGCTGTTCACACCGTTAATGGTCCTCAGCTACGGCTTCGGACCGACTACCCTCCTCCTCCTCATTCATCGATGGCAGGACAAGTGAACTCCTCGCCATCACAAAGCATGTAAGCACGGATGTCAGCGTGGACGGAGTCAGCGCGGCGACAGCTCTCACCTCCGCCGGCTGAGCGCTTACCTCTCCGGGCGCTCGCTTCTCTTGGCCCCCCTTCCCTGGTGCGTGTCCTTGTTTCGCTTCAGCGCTGAGTGTGAATGCTGTCTTTATCCCACAAAGACCGCAGTTGCATTTTACAGCAAGGAAAGCAACACTGTGCGGAGGCAGCGGCTCGGTGCGTGGCCTGTCGGTGCTCGGCTCCGCGCGTCACCAGGTGGAGCGGACGGACCGGGACTTGGCGGATGTCTTCAATCCGAGGCTCGCAGCGCGGCAGCGGATCTGAGATGCGAGCGACTGCTCGGACTGACTGGCACGCCGTGTAGCCACTTTACTCACGGTGCTGCTGCTCCTCCTCCTTCACCGGGCTGGAGCTGACACAAGCCTTGCAGCGCCCCCAGCCCGCCACTATGTGCATTTACATCTACTCACCTCAGGAATCCTCAGCAGCAGCAGCCAGCTCAGCAGATCTAAATGCTCCTGGAGATCCTGCAACGTTTTCATAATTCCCTTCCTTATATAATTGTAGTATTTCACCAGTTAATGCATTTAGAGTCAATACAGACATGGATAACATATCCAGTTGAAAAAAAATTAAATAAAAAGTTACAGAAAATCCATCAACCTATATTATGTGTTTCATCATCATCATCATCAAATTTTCTGAACTGCTTATTTCCTAAAAGACTCACAAGCAGGGGGTGAGGTGAGGACGCCCTGGACAGGTCTCTAGTCCATCACAGGGACACACAAATGAACCATTCACATTCTCGCTCACACCTGCAGATAATTTAGAGTCTCTGACATGCAGATAGCTGTCTGACTGACTTCAGTTTGGAGAAACGGACAATAAATCTGATTTAACGCACATTTGTAAAGTAAGTCAGTTATAAAATCTTAAAATAACTATAATTCCAAGAATAAATTATGCCAGAATCTTAATGTCAAGTTTTACCCTGATGAATTCTGTGGTCTTTAAGACGAGGAGCTGGCTGCGTCTGACATAATGACTCTGTAGGAATAAATGGGAATTTAATAGTAACATAATCAAGCTTTTGGAACAATACGGTTTTGAGACACTTAACTTGTCTATTGTATCACTAGTGTTCTCTGTTTCTCCTAACTGAGGCCTAAATGTAATTATTCTAATGAATCTGACCTTAAAAAAAAGTTAAACATTCACTATAAGCATTCACACTAACCCTAACCTTCCTCTGGTCTAAAAAGATGACCAAAATGTTATTTCATCCCACTCTCAGTAAGGAGGCCCGCAGTAGCCAACATGTTGCAGCTTTTCCATCCTACCTGGCGGTTAAATGCTGGTAATTACATTCACTTAGCATCCTGGTTATAAATCAGTCCCTGATTAGATGGCTGGAACAAAAATCAACAGGGCTCTCTGCGGCGATACAAATAACCTGAAATCAATGCTTCCCCCTTTATTTTTGCTTCCCTCGCCACATTTCCGTGAGCACAAAAAAGGATGTGATGTGACAGAGTAACGACTCAAAGAGACAGTTCTGTGAAGTCGGGAGCCGACAGCAGCTGTGTGAAGGAGATGGAATCTTTTAATGGGGAACAGTTTAGGTGGGAAAACACATTATTTAATTATACATGGATCTTATTAAGCTGGTACCATTTTTAAAACATTTAGATAGCTCAACATTAGCTTGGCTGCTTCAGATGGGAGAACAATTAACTCAGACAGGCACTTTTAAATCCACATGAGGCACTTTGAATATTGATGATAAGATATTTTAATATGGCATTGTAGCTCCTAAAAGCTAGGAAACGGCTAACCTGGGATCAACTAAAAAAATGTAAAAATAATCCCATAAATTACCAGTAAGGTGCAGCATAAAACACACATGTTTAAAGGTGTTAAACACCTGTTTAATCAATGCATTTGCAGTGGTCTCTAGTAGGAATGAATGCCTTGCAAGTTGTACTAGGGGTGGGGGTGGGCAGTAGCTTCTTCATCAGCACAGAGGAGTCATCTGGAGGAGAGAGTGGCAGAACACGACAGGATTTGGACTCATTACCTGATATTTGGGCATCTTGCCTCTGATTGGCTAACAGCAACATGACTCTACCATTTACTTTGCAACGCTGATATTTTATCTCCACAAATAACACAAGCTTGGAGGAGCTCTGCTGTGTGGTGAAGTTGCTAATGCTAACGGTTAGCTTCTACTAGCCAAGAAGTGCTCTGCTCTCTCCTGGGTGCTAAATCAACAACAGCCTTCCCCGTCAGGAGCCAACATGGGTGAGTCCATGAACGCTATGTGATGCAGATCTGACTGCTTTTTCTGACCCAAGCCTTTCCCCATCTATATTCTTTCAGCGCCAAATACAGGAGATAAATGTAGGAGACAGTTTTTAAGTTCAGCCTGCACGAAACACTTAAAGTGCCCGATTATACTCAGAAATAATTTAAAAAAAGATTTTTCACTGTTCCGCATTTGAACATCCCTCAAATTTGGATTCCTAAATTATTTAATCATACGGAATAACTAGAGTGTGACAGATGTTTAGGGTGAAGAACAATCAAAGGTTACTTTACTTCATGAAAACACACAAAGGTTAGCTGCAGGGTCTCAGGCAAACCTGTCCAAATAGTCTTAACACAAATATCTAACCAGCCAATCACACAGTAGCAATTCAATGCATTTAGACCCCTAGGAAGTTCAAACCGAGCATCAGAATGGAGAAGAAAGAGCTTTGGGGGGACATTGAAAAACACGTGGTTGATGGCACCAGTTGGGTTTGTCTGAGCCTTTAATGCCAGCTGATTTACTGGGATTTCAACTCGCAACCATCTCCATCTCTGATCTAACTGGTTGGAGATGAAAGAAAGACAAATAAGCACTGGTTCCTACCAAAGTCTGTAAAAAGGAAAATGGCTTGTATTTGCATAGCGCCATCTAGGGTTCTACAACCCCCCAAGGTACTTTACAACACACCCAATTATTCAATAATGCACACACACACATTGACACGCTGGTGACATCTTATTAATTAATTTATTTATTTTTGTTGTTTACAAGTTAATTTTAAGTATTTTTGTTAAATTAATTGTATTTTAGTAACTTTTACAAATCCCTCCTTTTGTCCGAGCCTTTCAAGATAGGTCTTCACATTTCCTAAATCAAGAACAATATATTTTGGTAATTAGATTCTAAATAGAACCTTTGCATTCATACCTGTTATTTTTACAAACCTCCATCCTGCAGAGGTATTTTCTTTTGTCGTTTTTTTCCCCCCCGCAGACCTTTTGAGATGTGACAGTGAGGAAAGGTGGAAATAAAGAGCCAGTTTATCCTCGTAAGCTGCTGCAGTGAACCAGCAGACGCAAAGAGAGAAGCTGCCCTTGTGGAAAGTAGCCATCATCGATACATCAGTGCTTCTCACCTTTTGTGTGAAATCCAAATCTCTGCTGGGGAAAAGAGCGTGTCCCTGAAGTCCTACAGCAAAGACCGCAAGGGAACGGTTGCAACAAAGTAAAGACGATTTAAAAAAGACAACTTTTTTTACGAACATCACCAAGTTGTGCAACTTTAACAGTTGGCTAACTTTACAATTAGCTTTTAAAGCATTGGCTCAGACATCGCGGTGGTATCGTGACCATATTATTTAAGAGCTTTAAAAATGGAATCATACTCAGACGTCTGGTCTGAGTTTAAAGTGGTCAACGTGGCACCTCGACCTCGAGAATAGCATCTGGAAAAGAAGTTTTGGTAGCAACAAAAATGAAATAAGGTTGCTGATGTGTGTAGGTGTTTCCTCAATAGGTACTTTAAAATGAAAGGCAATATGCAAATTTTGAAATTACATGTAAAAATACATAGCAGAAAATGCAGCGCTACGCATTGTGGAAGCAAAGCATAGGTGTTACTGCTCCCTGCACACACCTTAAGTGTATTCACTCCAAAAGGCTTGGGTAAAACACTTGAGTGCTCTCCGCTCCTCATACATCCAGCATCGCATCAAAATGTCACACTTGGCAGAATAGATAGCTGGCCTTATCGAGGGTCAAATTCCATTCCGCGGTAAATTTCAGAAGTCTCTCCGCTCTGCCTTTCAGCTGTGGCGGTGAGCGAGAGAGCGTGCAACGGGGTGTGTTAATTTGTTGTGGAGCAGAGTCAAATCCCAACCTGCAGGTACTAGTTTGGATTTTTAAAAAGAAAAGAGAAGGAAAGGCGGGTGTTTTACACACAATTCACTCTATCTGAGATCTTTAGAGAGCGAGTCACCCCGAAGGGAGACCAGAATCATGCTCAGTGTTGATGGATCTAAATACAATCAGCAACACGACTCATATCGGGCAGAAGAAAGGAGAAGCTGCCTTAACTAGAGCGGTGGAGATTCTGCAAGGCAGAGTTAGTCATGCTCTTTATGGTATTCGACAACGTCTGCAATTTGTAAACAGCAGTAATTGGGCTCAAGGGACAGCAGACTAAAATAAACCAAATGGCATTACAAGAGCCATGGATGCCTCCCTGGTGAGGTTTTCCAGGCACGTCCAACCGGGAGAAGACCTAAAGGAAGACCCAGGACACACTTGAGGGACTTTGCCTCTCGGCTGGCCAGGGAACGCCTTGGGATTCCCCCGGAGGAGCTGGCCCAAGTGGCTGGGGAGAGGGAAGTCTGGGCCTCTCACCTTAGGCTGCTGTCTCACGACCCGACTCCAGATGAAAATGGATGGATGGCAATACGCCAAACAGTTATATTAGCAGAAATAGTAGAACTGTTTGACCAGACAGTGAGTACATTACAGGTCAGATCTTCATGTTAAATTAAAAAATGGCCTGAATTTGATGTGGCACCTTCTAGAGTCCCAGAACCCCCCAAGACACTTTGGTATCCAAACAGTCTTATCCAAACAGTCTCTCACCCATGCACACACAAATTTACACCCTGGTGGCGATGAGCTACGATGTAGCTGAAGTTGCTCTGGGATAGGGACACCGTCCACAGGCGCCCCCTGGTCGATGACGTCACAGCGCAGCGACGAGTACTGTCCGAATTCCAAGAATACTCATTCTCGTGTCCTCAAACGCGTCCTCGCTCCGCCCACATTTCGAGGTCGGGTCTGTTGTATTCTCACAGAACAAGGCTATCCCAGCATGCTTTGCATACCGGCTGTGGATTTTCAACAGGAAGAGAAAATGGGGAGAGCTACGATGTTTTAAATGTAAGTTTATTAAAAACTAGCCGTAGAAACCTAAAAAGCTTAAAGCAGTTCTGTTTGTAGACATTTTTCGTTTGTATATTTGTTTTTTAAATTACATTTTAGGCAGAAATCAGCCAGAACGAGTTTGTTTCGCAGGTCCATGTTATTCCTGAGTGTG